CACACCACCCCCTTCCCACAGGATCCACTCTCTTCACAACCCCCTACATTCAGCATTGGGTTTCTATGTACAGACTCTTTCTGCCTCCTAGTCACACTAGAGACTCTGCTCTTTCCTCTTCTGGATGGTACCCATACTGTCAACACCAACTAAGTCTAATATAATGCTTTCTCCTCTCTCACTTGGTTCTCTGCCTGCTCAAACTCTTTCTTCTACCCACTGTGGCACAAATGGGGTGGGGTTAGATAACAGCTGTCTGCTGCCCTGTCACCCCAGGAACAAAGAGGATGAAGTCTGTCTCCCCAGACCGAGAATGGAAATACACTCATATGTCAGCGCATATCTGGAGCAACCACTGGACCCTGAGTGACACTCCTTGAGTTATTCAGGCCTATGGTATATGAGTTTCTTAGATTTATCAAATGAGATAATACCTATGTAAAGTGATTTATAAACTTTAAAGTGCCTTACAAATGCTACTATTAATAATAATATCCTTACAGCCACAAATCATCAGGAACTTCCCAGCAAGGCTGTGGAGGGGCCACCCAGAATTACCTTTCTGGGGAGATAGATTCCATTCCATTCTATAATGTTAAGTGAGTTATCCAGGGTCACATATCTATTATGTATTTGAAGAAGAATTTGAACTCAGGTCTTCTTACTTCCAGATCCAGAGCTCTATCCATTATGATTGGAGACACAGATATTGTCATCCCCATTTTATAGATAACAAAACTGAATCTCATATAAATTAATCAACTCGCTTAAGTCATATATAAAAAGGGTAAAGGGATGGGCCAAGATTCAAACCCACATAGCAGTTTTCCCCCCCTTCTCTTGTGCTCTTTTCCTTGGACATCTCCATAGTCTTGACCTCATTCCCTCAGCATGAGGGCCTCTGTACCTGCCTAGGTGACAGTGAGTTTATCTGGTCCATGCTTGCATGTGAATGGTGGAGGTGGCACACCTAGGTTTTACCTTGAAGGAAGAGAAAGCTTTTAACAGAGATGTGTTATGGGGTGTGGAGGAATTCGTCTTCCCCACTTTGATTCTCACTTTTCTCGTCTATTGAATGGGATTGCTTTCCTTTGTCCTGCTTCCCCAGTGAGCCATTCCAGGGATCACAGGAACTGCACAGATGGGAAAGTAGGAAATCTTTTGCAAAATTCAGGATGATTATGAGAAGGGAAGAGCCACAGGGAGATTGCAGCTGCCCTTGGCTGGTTAGGGAGTTCATTTTCAGACAGTTCTTTCTTGAGTTCCTTGTTAGGTAAGCTTTATTAATTTCTCATCTAGCAGCAGGGTTTCTGAAAGGGTCTGATTTTATGTAATGGAACCCAACAACCAGCTAGATTCATAAATTGTGTCCATTGTCTTCGCTAGGGCCGCCAAGGGCTACCTCCCTCCAGAGTTACACACCAGCGGCTGATGGGTGGAGATGGGTTAATTTTTAATGCAGACACTTTATCTCAGGGAAGATGGGGCTGAAACTTGGAAGCTGCTGCCCTTTGGGCTGCAAAGAGGCATATTTCTTCATGAAATTGAGCAGGATGTTACCCATCTCCGCCATTTTGTGGAGAGGAAGGACATTGATCTCAGCTGACGCATCTGCGAGAGGTGACGAGCAGTGTTAATTTTTCTCATATATCTCAGGAGTCCTCTCTTCTCACTTTCTTGCTTTCATGTCCTTTTCTGTGCTTGGCTGTGAATTAATGATAGAAGAGGCAGTGTGGGGCAGAGATTCTGGAATCACAGATCTAAAGCTAGAAAGGACTTAGAGAATAAGGCCAAACCTCTCATTGAACAAATAAGGAAACTGAAGCACAGGAGGTTAAGCGATCTGTCTAGGGTCACATCGCTGGTGAGTATCTGAGAAGTATTGGATACTAAGCCTTCCTATTTCTAAGTTCAGGGCTCCACCCACTATAACAGGTTCCCTGGAAGTCAAAGATGCTCCATCAAAGGCTTCTGGATAATCTTTATTGGCCAAGCAAGGCCACTGAATTCTGTCGATGCAGGGCTAAAAACAATACGCATGGGAGCCCTTTTCCTCTATCCTAGTTCTTGTGATTATCCAACAAACACTTACCAATACCAACTGAATATTGACTGTTGGGAGTCCATAGTTCTCCCCAAATTACCAGAGTGGTCCAGGCACAAAGAAGATTAAGAAGCTCTTCCCTCCATTATTAAGACATGCTCATTGAAACCGGATCTGAAGGTGGAGTAGAATAAAGGCTCGATTTGCAGGCAGAAGATGTGATTTCCAACCATGGCTCCTGGGCTGCTTTAGGCTGTTCACTTATCTTCCCTTTGCTTCATCTGTATGATGAAAGAGTTTGTCTAATGAATGCAGTGTGAGGACAGGGGCTGGTTCCTTTTTGTTTTCACATCCTCAGGACTTAGCACAGTGCCTGGCATAGAGAAAGTGTTTAATAAATACTTGGTGGTAGGGATATAGAGTTAGGGATCATAGATTTATAATTGGAAGGTAAATAAGAGACCACGTAGGCTAATCCTCTCATTTTATAGATGAAGAGACTGAGGCCAAGAACAGTTGTGACTTCCCTTAGACCACATAAGCGTCTCTTGCACCTCCAATAATAGTCCATATTCTCTAGCGCTTTCAAGTTAACCAGTCAGCAGCATTTATTAAGCACTTACTGATACTTACACTTACACTGTGCTATGTGGTGGAGATGCAAAGATAGGCAAAAATATGGTGGTTCCTGCTCTTAAAACACTGAGAGGCAGCTGCTGAAATCACCCACATCCCCATTTTACTGATGAAGACACATTTAAAGAGCTCAGGCAGATGAAGTAGCTGCCCTAAAGTATCGCAGCTGGGACCCAAAGCTTGGTCTTCTGGTGCTGAACCCAACACGCTTGGCTATCATTTCCACGTTGGTGGGCCATCAGGGCTCTGCTGCATTCTCAGCATCTTCCCAAATGCACAGTGATGGGGTGTTTATTCTAGACTTTTCATGTGTTTAATGAACTTGAGTGGGCCTCTCACCTTGAGCATCACAGTGTGGCTTGTATATCTCTCCCTAATGCTCTCCCATGCATACTTTGGTATTACCATTATCTATATTTGTATAATACATATATCCTACTAAACTATAAACTCCATGAGGGCCTAGGGCCTGCCGTATTGAATTCGTCTCTCTCCAAATGCCTAGAATAATGATCCCTGTTAAAAGAATTTGGCAAGAATTAGAGGCAACTAAGTGCAATAGTGGAATACCTGAGTTCAAATCCAGCCTCAGACACTTACTATCTGTATGAACCTGGGCAAGTAACTTAACCTCTGCCTACTCCAGTTTCCTTACCTGTAAAAGGAAATAATAATAACATTTACCTCCCAGAATTGTTGTGAAGAGCAAATAAGATAATATTTATAAAGTGCTTATCACAATATCTAGTATATAGTAGGTACTATAGAAATGCTTATTCCATTCCCTTTCCTCAAGAATGTTAAATTTATGTTCCTTGAGGGCAAGGACCATTTTTGCCTTTCTTTGTATCCTAGTGCTTAGAACGATACCTAACATATAGTAGGTGCCTAAGAAATGCTTGATGAGTTGAGTGAAAGATGGGAGGGCAGATCAGAATGGCAGAGATTTCAATTGTATCAGGATCCCTGGGTTGTGACTTTTTCTTTTCTTTTATTCCCCCTAATAGAGGGAGGAAGGTAAGGGAGAAAGATGCTAGGTTTATTTTTTAAAAACCAAAGAATATCCCTGAAGAGACTCCTACCCCAAATGAATTTCTACTGAAGCATCATTTGAGGCCACCTTTCTCTCTGGTTACCATGGGTACCAGCATTTCTAGATTTCAGTGCGATTGGCTTTGAGAATTAGTGGTCAGCGATGCACCTCTTCTACCTTCAGAAGACCATTGGGCATGGGATCAGGGCACTAGGATTCAAGTCCAAGCTCTGCCAATAATTGAATTTTTTGGCTTTAATAACATGGCTTGTCTTCATTTGGCCTCGGTTTCCAAATCTGTGAAATTAGGAGTTTGTTCTTTCTAGATAATCTCTAAGGTCTCTTACTCGCTGTAATATTCTAAGGTTCTATGTTCTAAGTTTCCTTCCAGTGTTAAATTCCATGCTCTATTTTCTAAGGTCCCTTCAGGGCTCTTTATTTAAAGGTATCTTCCAAAGTTAACATTTTATGTTCTGAACTCTAATATTCTTCTAGCTCTAACTTTCTTTGCTCTAAGGTCCCTTCCAGCACCCACAGTCTGAGACTCCTTCCAGCTCTAACACACTATATTCTAAGCTTTGTTTGCTCTGAATTCTATGTTCCAACCCTGCCCCTTCCCACTCCAATTCTATTGATATCATTCTATGTGCTATGTTCTAATGGTCAGCTCTCTGTTCTCTAGGGTACCTCCTAGATCCAAATTTCTATGTTCTAAGGCCTTTGTAGCTTTGATAGTCTATGTTCTAAGGGATAAACTCTTTTCTAGCTTTCACAGTGCATATTTCTATGATGTCCTTTCCCTGTTACACTTTTTTTTTGAATGCAGCATTTCTTATAACAGGGACAACTCCCATCATTAATGAACTAGGAAATGTAATGGCAGTATTCAATCTCCATACCTATGGTGATGGAGTCCTCTGGACATAGAGAGAGAATAACCCTACTGTATGTACTCTGCCTTGGTCAGACCTCATCTGGATTGTTGTCAGCACTTCTGGGTTGCACAGTATATGAAGAAAGCTGATTAGCTGGAGAATTGCAAAGAAACAAATTTAGCCTTGATACTGGGAAAGACTTTATGCCAATCAGAGCTATGGGTTAGCTGTCTTGGGAGACACTGGGTTCCCCATCTCTAGAGGTCTTGAAGCACTGATTGGGTTTGATTATGGCAAGGCTCCTTTATGGATGGGGCCACTGGTGACCCTTCCTGCTCTGAGCTTCTGTGATTCAGTGTTTCTGAGACTTTGGTATCCCATTTAGAATTGTTTTCATCTGTGTTCCTCCTAGCGCTGCAGCAGGAATCCTCATCTCAGCCCTCTGGGAACCTTTCACCAGCGTCTCTGAGTGCTCATCTTCCCGTTGCCTGTCTGCTGTGTGAACAAAAGCTTTAAGGAACTGGCAAGCTCATCTAAGGTGAATGTGGGTTCAGGTAGGCCACTGGTTTCTTTATTCTTCCAGGAGGTGTTATGAATATCCTATATTGCTCTGCTTTTCTCGGACTCCAAATAGCAACTCTTTTCTCCATCATATAGTCATTCACAGATTCCAATGTATTAAGCCAGAACAGACACTTGAAGTCACGTGCTCCACCCCTTTAATTTGGAAGAATATGCAGCTGGAACAGGTAAACTGGCTTGTCTATGCTCATGCAGATGGGATGTGAGGCCTTCTGCATCTGGATGTCCAGAACTGGATTTGAAGGCAGAGGTCCTGTGTTTAAATTTCAGTTCTGAAACTTAGGACCTGTTTGAAATTGAGCAAGCTATTTCACCTTGGGAAACCTCAGTTTCCATCTTTATGAAATGGGTGGGTGGAGGATGGTGTAATGCTTACCGAGGTCTCTGCCAGTTCTTCAGCTCTGATCTTCTGCCTCCCTTACCTTCACATTGCATGGATTCCCTTTCATGTCGACCGTAGATGGGGAGGAATCTCATGTTTCTTGTCTTTGTATTCTGGGAATCTGTGATTTTATTGTCAGTATGCTAATGGTAATGAAAGGCAAATGATGTCCAATGTGACTTGAAAAAAAAAAACAACTCACAAACATCAACAAAATTATATGTTCGTTTTTTTCCCCGTAGCGATCAACGAAGTACTAATGTGACTTGTTTGCTGTCAATACAGCTTATAATGACATGGTTCCGGGGAGGGGTGCCAAGTGTGGCTGGTATTCATAGTACACATGTATTAAATGTAACTTGATCTGTGTCTGGTGGCACACATACTCCTTTTGCTAATTCAGAGCTGTGGCTTCCCTTCCCCGTGGGATGATTAAGAGGAAAACAGGAATTGGGGGACTGGGATTGCTGTTTGGCAGTGTTCATAATAGACTTCATTTCTAGAGCAAAAACACTTTCCTCGCCATGACCTTGGAAGGTAGCTAATACAGGGATCTTTTTTTTTTGCTGCTTTGCAGAAGGGAAAACTGAGGCTCACAATGGTAAAGCCACTTTTCTAAGTTCACATAGTGAGCGAGTCTATTCGAAGCCTTGTCTCTTCCCTCCCAAGGTCAATGCCCTTCACTTTTACTACAGTCACAAGTATTAACGATTTAGAGTTGGAAGATACCATGGAGGCATCATCATTTGCACTCTGGTCCTTGCTCAAAGGCTCAGGATTCAAACCCAGATCATCTTCCTACTGCTTTATGCCCTGTCTCTGACTTTCTCCCATACTACTCCCCTCCATGGTCCAGCCCAACTGGATTCCTCACTGTGCTTCATGTGCATCTGTGCCCCACACTTTCTCATTCCTCATCTTTTAGAGTCTTACTGTTGCTTTTTTGGGGGTTGTTTTTATCACTCTTTTTCCCTCCTTATCATTTAAATTCGTCATTTTATATTTTTATTTCCACATTAGTCATATTGTACATTCTTTATTTTAACAAAGGAAAATAAAATACTTAAGCAAAACTGACCAACATAACCAACGTGTCTGATGTTGTACAAAGCATTCCCCATCAATTTTTTTTTTTCTGAGAGGAATGAGAGACTAGTTGAGAGCTGATTAAGAGAATTGGTAATGTTCAGCCTGGAGAAGAGAAGATTTGGGGAGGTAGAAGCATGTTAAGGCTATCTTTATGGACTGGGATAGACTCTTTCATGGAGGGATTTGACTTATTCTATTTGATCAAAGAGGGCCAAACTAGGCAGAATATGTGGAAGTTTCAGAGCGGGCGTTATCTTGCAGCTCAGAGTAAGAATAAAGTTTCCAATGATTAGGGCCATCCAAAGTAGAATGGGCTGTCTTGGAAATTAGTGGGTTTCTCTTCATTAAAATGTCTTCCTAGGTCTTCTAGCCATAACCTTTTTCCTGAGCTACTGTCCTAAATTATCAACTGCCTTTTGGACGTCTTGAGCTTGATATTTTTTAGGCATCTTAAACTCAACACATTTAAACCAGAATTAATTATCCTCCTCCCCTTATGACTCTCCCATGTTCTGAACTTCTCTATTACTCTCAAGGTTAGCACCATCCTCCTAGTCATCCAGGCTTGTGACTAGGTGTCATCTTCAGTGCCTCACTCTCTTTCTCTTGCCTAATAACCAATCTGTAACTAAATCTTATCGTTTCTATCCTTACCACTTCTCCCCCTCTTCTCCTCTAGCATTGTCACCACCTAATTACCTCTTGCATGGACTATTACAATAACTTTCTAAATGAACTCCCTGCCTCGTTTCTCTCCTCACTCCAATCCATCCTTCATTCTGCTATAAATTCCAGTAGTTCCCTATTATCTTCAGGATCAAATATTAAATCCTCTGTTTGGCTTTTAAAGCTTTGCATTATCTGGCCTTCCCCACTTTTCCAGTCTTCTCACACTTTCCCAATGTGTCCTTTGCAATTCCTGGGTTGTTGCTGGCAAGATCACCTTCATTTTAGAACTTTTCTTCTCACGCTTCTTCTATCCCTTCACATTATCTAAAATTTGGATATTCTCTTGCATTTGATATTTATAGATCATGAGGTCATAGCTTTTGAGCTTTTAGGATCCTCAGAGAAAATCTAATCCAACCTCCTCATTTAATGGATGAGGAAATCAAGGCTGAGGAAGGCTAACTATCTGACTATCTAAGGCCACACAGGTTTAGAGGTGAGATTTGAACTCAAGGCCCCTGAGATCTCTGAATCAAGAGTTAATGATCTCTCCATTGGATCAATTTCTGGTAGCCTGCTCACATTCTGATCTTTCCTTTCCCAGTGCTCCATCTCAAAGGCTATAGCTGTGGGAAAATCTTCTTGTTTTATTGTTAGGAATATTGAAGAAGCAGATTTAGTTTTGATGTAAGGGATAATTTCCTAATGATGAGAAATGACTATAAATGGAATGGGCTGCCTCAGAAGGTAATGGGTTAGCCCATTTCTCATCTCTCCACTTTCTCCCCAGCCAAGTACAGGTTGGAGGATAACATAACCATATCAATAAAAGAAATTTACATAGTGCTTCAAGATATGTAAAACTCTTGACATATGTTATCTCACAGGAATCCCATGGCGTTAAATCTGGGTAGGAGCAATCTTTTTTTTTTTTTTTTTTGCTTTTAGGCAATTGGGGTTAAGTGACTTGCCCAGGGTCACACAGCTAGTAAGTGTCAAGTATTTGGTCTGAGGCTGGATTTGAACTCAGGTCTTCCTGACTTCAGGGCCAGTGCTCTATCCACTGCGCCACCTAGCTGCCCCATGGGTAGGAGCAATCTTATCATCCCTATTTTATAGATGAGAAAATTAAGACTGAGAGTGGTAAAGTGACTTGCCCAAGGTAACTCAGGTAGCAGGACTGACTTAGAGATTGAGTCTTGGTCTCTTCTGATTCCAATTTTAGTGCTTCTTCTCCACTTTCATAGCTGCCTTGTCACTTAGGGGTGATCAAAGAGTTAGAACTAGAAGTGACTTTAGGGATCATCCTGTCCAATCCTCATTTTACAGGTTGGGAACTTGAGGCTCAGGGAGGTGAAATGATTTGTCAATTTCTTTTTTTTTTTTTTACTATTAATTAATTTATTTTTAGTTTCCAACATTCACTTTCACAAGATTTTGAGTTCCAAATTTTCTCCCCATCTCTCCCCTGCCCCCACCCCAAGATGGTGTGCATTCTAAATACCCCTTCTCCCAATCTACCATCCCTTCTATCACTCCCCCCTTCCTCTTCTACTTTCCTGTAGGGCAGGATAGATTTCTATACCCCATTGCCTGTATATCTTATTTCCCGGTTGCATGTAAAAACAATTTTTAACATTTGTTTTTAAAACTTTGAGTTCCAAATTCTCTCCCTTCTTCCCTCCCCACCCACCCTCATTGAGAAGGCAAGCAATTTGATATAGGTTATATATGTGTAGTCACATAAAACACTTTCATAATAGCCATGTTGTGAAAGACTAACTATATTTCCCTCCATTCTATCCTGCCCCCCCCCATTTATTCTGTTCTCTCATTTAACCTTGTCCCTCCTCAAAAGTATGATCTTTGCTCTAGGCAGTGTGGGGTATTGGAGCAGTCAATGCCTCTACACACTTGCTTATTCCCTTCTTCTCCATATTTAGATGCCATCCTCTCCCCACAACCACCTTCTAATACTTGCCACCTTGCCACAATGGGAAGCCCCAATTCTGGATTCAGAGCACCTGGGCTGAAATCCTGCCTGTGATGCATGCTAGTTGAATGATCTTGGGACAGTCACTTGCATCCCTGGGTCCCAGATTCCCCACTTATAAATGAAAGGTAGTAATAAGTAGCCACTGAAGTCTCTCCAGTTCTAAATCTGAAATCCCATGTTCTCAGCTCTGTCTGCTGATTCCTACCTACGTTCCCTTTCATCTTTAACTCTATGTTCCTATGATATGATTTTATTTTCACAAAACCCTATGATAATTAAGAAAGACAACTTTGTCCCTTTTTCTTTTTTCTTTTTTTTTTCCTTTTAGGCAATTGGGGTTAAGTGACTTGCCCAGGGTCACAATCTAGGAAGTATCAAGTGTTTGGTCTGAGGCTGGATTTGAACTCAGGTCCTCCTGACTTCAGGGCCAGTGCTGTATCCACTGCGCCACCTAGCTGCCCCATCTTTTTCCCTTTTTCATTGCTGAGTAAACTGAGGCTCAGAGATGATAAGAAATTTCCAAAGAGAAGACATTTGCTAGGGTTAAGTCAAGTCAACAAGCATTTATTAAGGTGCCAGGCACTGTGCTAAGCCTGGGAGTATACAGTGGAAGGTGGAAACAGTCCCTGCCCTTAAGAACTATGATGGAAGAGACAATATGCAAATGACTCTGTATAATAGGGACAGGTAGTTGGCAGATTGGTTAGAATACTGGGCTTGGAGTAAGGAAGATGAGTCTTCCTGAGTTCAAATCCAGCCTCAGACATTTACTAGCTGTGTTACCCTGGAAAAGTTGCAGCTTCCTGTTTGCCTCAGTTTCCTCATCTGGAAAATGA